TATATATATGTATATATATATATGGAATATATATATATGCATATATATATATAGCTAAGAAGTTTAGCCATATACATGACTCTTCAATGTCTAATAACAAAGGCATTATCATATATAAACACAATATAATCATCACACTTAAGAAATTTTATCTTCTTATACCATTATAGCCTCCTTTATTCACAGGGAACACTTCCAAAATCCAGTGGATTCCTGAAACCAGGGGTAGTACATATAAATCAGGCACAGTAACAAATTAACAACAGTAACAAAAACTAACATAAAAGTGTTACAATGATATAGTGTAATAAAATTTATTTAAAATGTATGAGTTATTGCGCCAGGGATTTAGCTCAGTGGTTTCTTCGCCTGCCTTGCAAAAGCTCGAGGTTCCGAATTCAATCCCTGGTACGGAAAAAAAATGTATGAGTTATTTATGCCCATAACTTTGTATTTACTATTTTAGGATAGCTGAAACTGTGGGAAGCAAACCCGCAGATAAGGAAGGAATACTGTAGCTCAGCAATCCCCAACACCTTCGGCAAGAGGGGCTGGCTTGTACGGGTTAGGAGGGGTGGTTTCTGAATGATTCAAAGGAGCCCAACGTAGATCCCTTGGCTGTGCAATTCACAGTGGGGTTCCCACTCCTTTGAGAATCTAATACTGCAGCTGATCTGACAGGAGGTAGAGCTCAGTGGTGATGCAAGCAAGTGATGGGGAGCTGCTGTAAATCCAGATGAAGCTTCCCTGGTTCACCACCCACACTGCTCACCAGGTCTGTGAACCCCAGGGTTGGGGACCATTCCTGTACCTACTCTCTCATATAGAATCTATACTCAGAGTTAGCCAATTGTCCCAATGATGTTTTCCCACAGATTTTTTCCCAACCAAGACCAACCAAAGATCACATATGAACATTTACTTGTTATATCTCTTTGGTGGCTTTTAATCTAGAACAGTTAGGCAGTAGTTTGTTAATATTTCATAACAGTTTCGTTCAACTTTGAGAGAGCAAGTCAGTTATCTTGCAGGATATCTCTCAGTTTGGATTTGTCTGGTTGTTTCCTCATGATGAGATTCAGGTTATATGTTTTGGTGGGAATGCTACTGGTGTGGTGTCGAATGCTTGGTTTAATTTAGGATCTTTACAGTGGAGTGCACCCCTTTGATGATTAAGAAAGACATAAAATGGAAATAAAGGTTTTATTACTTAGTTATCCAGAGTTGTGGAACTTAAATAACATGCCTAGAAGCCACACACAGAAGCCAAGGAACCTATGGGATGAGGGGATGGGGTGATAGAGGGACAGAGAGAGAGAGAGAGAGAGAGAGAGAGAGAGAGAGGAAGAGGGAGAGACCTATGAGCCAACACATTAACACATTTATTAGGATCCAAAGCATTATCCAAACAAATTTCTCATAGATTATTTTAATGGATAGAATTAAAACAAGCAGACACAATTTCTAAGAGGTCATACTATGACTCAGAAGGGGTCAGTGTGGTACATCTGCACCGTGTTTGTGAGGTGTGGGGGTCAGCAGGACTAGTCAAATTGGTTTCATCTAGCTATCTTATAGGGAGGTGGGCACGAGAAGGAAGTTGTATAAAGCAGATATCTGGATGGACTGCACTGAGAAACTGAGGGAGGAATAGAACTGGAAATGGCCAAGGGTGACTGAGCCCTGCTTCTGGAAGGAGAAAGCTAAATTTATAATCAAAATAGATGCTGAAGCAACATAATTATAAGCATTCACTACAGTCCTTGGGGCATCTTATAAGGAGGCATGGGAGACTGGTTTATTATGTTATTGGTGATGTTGACTTGATCACTTGACTAAGGTGCCTGCCAAGTTTTTTCATATCCTTTCCTAACAGTCCTTGACCAAATGATGTTAGTGCCCATTGAGTTTTGCATGAATCAGTTATTACTAATGGATTTGTAAACTGATACTTTCATCACTATCTGTACATTCATTAGTTAGACTTCTTATCAAAAGGTCTTTCCCTTCTCCTCCTCTGTTTCACTGTTTAGTAGCAGCATAGATTCATGGCTTCTTTTTTATTAGTGCTATGTTTGCAATACAAAATGATCACATTCACCATGGAGGATTTGTACATGTACATAACACATCTTAATTCTATGTTTTATCCCTTTCGCCTCCCCTTCCTCCAACCCTTATTATCCTCCCTATTTACAAAAGCTCTATTTCCATATTTTTCTTCAATTCTTTTTTTTCTTTAAATCCCTCTTCCATTCCTTCCCTCCCTCTCCCCCTTTCCTTGTTCCCCCTCACATTTGAACAAGTTTTTCCTACTTCCTAATACCCTACCCTCCTTTTCGCTACTTATTTATACTTTGGGTTTCTCACACAAGAGAAACAATGCAATATTTGTGTATCTGATTATTTCACTTATTATGGTCTCCTACCTAAAAATGCATTTTTATTTCATTCAAAATATAATGATCTGGGCCAGGGATTTAGCTCAGTGGTTTATATATAATGTATGTATATCTATAATGTATATCTATAATATATGTATATATAATGTATGTGTATATATAATATATATATACATATAATTATCTATTCCTGTTATTATTTCAGTGTTTAAATTATTCAGAACCTGGCCATTGGCAGCTTCCTCAAGTTGGCTTCTTTAGAAAATTAGTACTACTGACTTTCCTTTTAAGTTTAGTAATTGGCTTTATAACGGAACAAAATAGCTTACAATATGCTCTAATGTATACAATTTTCAGAACCATCTTTTATGTTCAGAATAGTCTTTGGTGGATATTTTTTAATGATGTAATGAGTTTATTGCGATTTATCTTCATTCTCTCCTGGTTTCTCTAGTAGCCATTTCAAATTTGTACCAGGAAACATAGTGTATGGCAGTAGAAGAGAGCAAAACTGATCTGATGGTGGATTGTGAACCCGTAACTGTCATCTTTATTAGCACAGTCCTCTAACCATTTAAGCTAAACACTATGCTTAATAGTGCTGTGAAATTTTACAAAATTTATACTGGTTATAAATCTCAGTCGTACCTAAACAAAACATGCTAGGAGTCCTTTTATTACTAAGATTTGTTTTGAAAGGATCTCTCCTGATTTTCTGGTTTTTTGTTTGTTTGTTTGTTTGTTTGTTTTGTCTACCCACTAATTGTCAGGATTCAAACAGGTAAATTGTCAGAATTTTTGACAACATCTTGCTGCTCACACTTGAGCTTCATGGACCCTGGGCCAGAGGGTAAGCAGTACAGTGAAGAATATGAGGACAACTCTGAAGATCTGGAATCTGGCAATTGGATGGATAGCTATGATGCACTGAGTAATGGTAAGGAGGCTTCATAAAGCACTGGTTGGCTGGACGAGAACACAAAATATTATTTAGCATCATCCTTAATAATTCATGCTGCAGCAGTCTCACACTGCACCATCCTCACTCGTCTTTAATACATCTAGATTTCTACTTTTGTTTGGCTTTACTTTTCATGCCTTTACGTACCTTCAGTTTCTGGTCTAATATCCCTGTGGTGTTGGAGTGTGGCGTTGGACTGTTCCTTACTATAGTTAGGGAAGATTTCTCCCCTGGGCATTTGAAGTGGCTGATGATTATGAAGTGGAAAAAAGCAGTGGTGAGTAACAGATATCTAATTAAGCATTTAGTGAACAATAATTATACAAATATGTAGATATATTTACAGTGCTGCTTTTTTATATTAGAAAGCATAAAATAAAATTTAATACGAATTCTTTTTATATAATATCAGAGGGGTACACTTGACTCTGAGCAAGTGTGTATAGAAAAAGCATATTCAGAATGCCTATTGCTTTCCTATTACAAACTAGGCATGAAATAATGCACAGCAGAATAAAAATCTAGTTGGCTACTAGAAATATGAAGATGATGCACTGAGAGGCATGATGAGAGCATGGATTAAAAACAGCTCAGAGACCGGGCGTGGTGGCGCATGCCTGTAATCCTAGCACTTGGGAGGCTGAGGCAGGAGGATTGCTGTGAGTTCGAGACCAGCCTGGGCTACATAGTGAGTTCCAGGTCAGTCTCAACTACATAGTGAGTCCCTGTTTCAAAAAAAAAAAGAGCTCAGAAATACTGCTGTGCGGTGCTAAAATACTGACCTATGCAGGAGAAGCATTATATTGTTTGATTCCCAAAGAGAAAGAGCTAGAGAGAATTATTCTTCTGGCTATCTAAAACTTATTTGCTTACTTTCACTTTCTGAGTATTTAACCCTTAGTCTATATCTTAAAAAGCCAATTGCATTAATTTAAGAGTAGTGAGATGGAAACAAGAAAACAATAAATTTTATTTCCTTAGTGATCTCCTATACAAAAGACCAGTAGTCAGAATTACTATTTTATTTGGGCTCAGCATTTTCTCAGTAAGTGATGTATATATAATTTTGTTTTTTGAGACAGGGTCTTACTATGAAGTTCAAGCTGTCCTTGAACTCACTATGTAGCCCAGGCCGGCCTCAAACTCATGGCAATCCTCCTGCCTCAGCCTCCTGAGTGCCAGGATTACAGGCATACACCACCATGCCTGGCTTTTATATTTGTTTTTGTAAGCTGTAAAATAGTTCAAACTTCTTTGTTGGAAAAGTACTTTAAATATAAAGCTTTAATTGTTATTAATAATAATAAAGTCATTAATTGTGTCTATTTTGGCATAAAAGACTTGGAAAATTTAACAAGAATTATCACATATTGAAATAGCTTACCGTTCCATGGGTATTTATGATTTTTCACCTGTAGCACCCATTTCCTTGTATTACTTTCTAAAATTTATCTTTTTGATGATATGCACTGCTACATTTGATCTTACACCATTCTGAGTCACTTTCAGCTTCTGAGCTTATTGTGACCTCACAATGGGCATGTTGATTGCTTGTTAGCCTTTCTATGGATACAAAGCTTCTTTTCATATTCTTCATAATCCCCCACTCAAGTATCTAGATTATATTCAAGGCTAGACTCTTTGTCATTGGTATGCCATTGAATATGAGTTCCATTCTTACAGCTCTGCTAGCCCCATTCACTACTTCAGAGCACAGAAATACATCTGGAGAAATTACCGAAGATCATCCAAATGCCACACCAATGCCACACGAAGGTGTTTTTTTCATTAGTAATTTTAGCTGCTATTTGTAGAATTTGTTTGGTGGGAGATTTTTACCCTTCCTCAACCTTCCCTCACACAAGTCCCTTACCACTAGTTGGACTTGAAGGATCTTGTTTTTCTCCTCCTCCACTGCTATTCACCACAACTACCATCGCATGTCCACACGTGCATACCCAGATTGTAAAGTGCTTGCTCCGTCTGTCTTAAGATAAGCTTATATGCCTTTATGAATCTTAATATTTTCTCAGCAAACTTGAAAAATGAGTGTGTCCTGGCAAATGGCCATACTCTCTAAATCTTAAATCTATGTGACTGTTTAATGATCACAAGCTTTTTTCCCCTCCATGAGCTAAACACAGCCAACTTCTGTTGCTATTATAGGTACAGGAACCAGTCATTCTGATTGCTGGGCTAGACTGTGAAGTAACTAAAATGTTCATTTTTTTTCTCTTCTCCCTTCCCCACTAACCTTGCAGCTGGCTGTGGTGAGGAAGTTGCTCTTTACTTAGATCACCTTTTGGCCCACACTACTCCCCATCCTAAACTAGCCCCTGCTTCAAAGAAGGGAGGGCTAGATCGGTTCCGAGCTGCTGTGCAAACAACCTGCGACTTAATGTCCTTGGTGACCAAGGCCAAGGAGCTGCATGTACAGAGTGAGTAATGCCATGACTCTTTAGAGTCAGGCACAGGATGACATGAAACTCACAATGGGGGTGAAGCATTGATTATACTGTAAGCAGGAACTTTGCTTTGTCCCTGCTTTATCCCCAGAATCTTAGACAGCACCTGGAACACTCAAACACTTGTAAAATGAATGAATCAGATACAGTTTTACTGAGGATAGTGCTTATGTAGTCTGGATTAACCAAGAGCACAGTAAGGATAGGCAGGACGAGAGAAAGGAAGCTTTTTCAGTTTCAACATCCAAGTTTAAAAATGGTAAGAAGAGCTTTTCCTTTAGAAAAATTACTCCTTTGGAAGTAATTTTGTTTAAAGAGAAAGCATTGCAAGATTATGACAGAGTAGCCATGAAATGGAGTGGGAGATGGTCTCCCTTAAGTAAAATTGTTTCCCTTAGGCCAGTTGTAACTCTTACATTCAGTTGCTCCAGCTACATAAATCTGTGTTTCTCAAATGTAATACTCATTCTTCACATCTTTGCCATACTCCTCCCTAAAACCAATACTGTCCTTCAGTAGTGGTTGTAGTGAGAGATGACTTCTACTATACATGCCAAGAGTAGTCCTGGTTCCTGAGAGGGTTCAGCACCTCTATAGTAGCTGCATATGAAGACAGAGAAAGGCTCCTTGGCCATGCCTAGATGGTTTGAATGTTAACACTATACAGATGATGAGAATGATTGATATGCATGCTCTTGCTGTCTAAAACTTTACTGACCATTACTAATCAAAGATATTAAATGTTAACACTAGGGAATTATTTGACATTTATAATAGGAAAAAACTTACCATGCCCTTTGGGTGTGCTCCCTGGAGAAGGGGCTTATGCAAAGAGATGAACTTTATTAAATTTTAGTTCTTGATTGTGAATCAGGAAACTTGAGTTTAATTCCCAGCTGTGCTGCTTACTTGTTTGAAAAACTGTTTGAGCTTTGTATTTCTCTGTATCTGTAAAATGGTGAAAATGACAAGAGAGTCTCTCTTTAGACATTATGGTAAGTATTTCAACAATGAACTTCAAGTAACAATCTTAGCAATATCTCAAGGTTGCTCGGACATTGCATTTTTTTGATTCCCTAGATAGTATCATCCAGTCACATACTGTCAGGGAAATGCAAGGACTAGCCATCAAATATTCTTCTGTGACAGCCCACAAAATATAAAATACAACTGTGCTCTTTCTATCATATGTGATACTCTATCAAAGTATCATTTGTAGCCGCATTGTTATATTGATAACATTAGTAAACTTAATATCATTTATGTATAGTAGATGGTACAATTCTAAAAAATCAATTCAAAATATGTTTATTAATTGCAATGTCTTTAAATTATCTAATATACATATTTCTTTTCTTTGATATTACCATGAAAGAAAAAATTTGTCATTTTTTTCTATAAAGAACTCACCCAGTATACTTAAAAAGTACCAATAAACTCAATGAAAAAAAAAGAACTGACCCATATGTAACCCCATGCATTTTTATTAGTTTCCTAACTCTCTAACCTTTCCTGTAAATGTCAACCTCTCACAGATGTTCACATGTATCTTCCTACCAAGTTATTTCAGCCTTCCCGGCCTTCATTCAACTTACTTGACTCACTGGAGCCCTCACAGAGTGACCAGGTAAACTTGCAGATGCAATATTTCTATTGGCTTTTTAAAAAACTTTTATCTTTATGGAAAATAATAGAACTTGCCATTGTGATTCCAGTTAGTAAGTGGTGGTAGAAAACACTATCCTGGTGAAGTTACATGTCTTTTTTAAGTAGCTCTTAAATAGGGCAAGTCTGTCTAATTAGGCTTTAAGATAATTTGCTTTGTCCTGATGGCTTTGTTGTTTTTGTTTTACTTTTCATCAATATTTAGAAAATTCTTATGGAAAAGGTTTGAAAGTAGAAAGATGACTTATTCTAGGGCATCACTTAAGAACAGTTGTGGACTTAATGTCTTTTATCGTTTCTCAAAATAAAGGTTCCCTCTGTTCGTGTAGAAATACATTTTCCTAGAGATCAATCTGGGCAATTGGACTTCAAAGCACTGGTTTCACAGCTGAAGGAAACCTCAAGCTTACAGGAACAAGCTGATATACTCTACATGCTGTATATTATGAAGTAAGTAATCAATATC